TAGCAGCTTTAAGTACGTTAGGTGTGGCAGCTTTACGTAAGTTACGTATAGCAGCTTTACGTAAGTTACGTATAGCAGCCTTAAGTACGTTAATTCTTTTTGTGCAGCATTTATTAATCAGATTTATTAATCAGATTTACTAATCAGATTTATTAATTAGATTTACTAATCAGATTTACTAATTAGATTACGTACGGTAAATAGGCTGCTCCATGGGGTGGGGGCCCCATAGGGTTTTCCTCCCCATTCCCCCCATAAGGTCTTGGCCGATGGGGGACTTTTTTTTTTAAACCCCATAAGGAGGATTTTTTTAAGTCAAATTCCCCACGAGGGATAGGGAAACCCCATAAGTTTAAAGTAGGACAGCTAAAAATAATATATATAAGGCCGCTAAAAATAAAACAAATTTACGAATATTTACTAATTTTACTTAATCATTATATTTATTTATTATATTTATTAATCACATATGTTATACTTTACAATTACATTGCATTACATTATAATAAACTAAAATTACTAAACAAAACTTCCAGTCATGATTTCCCGCAATTTCCTAACTAACGCCATATCCTTGTTTTGAATCGTTACTCGTTTAGCGTGAATAGCACATAAGTTCGTCACTAAAAGTGATTAGTAAATCGATTAGTAAATCGATTAGTAAATCGATTAGTAAATAAATATATAAGTACTTACTTTCAAACTCTCTTACGAAGAATGCCTCTGAAGCTTCTTGTAAACATTCTAAAGCACCGCTTTGAAATTTAAAGTCTTGTTTAAAATCGTAAGTGATCTCTCGAACAAGACGCTAGAAAAGAGTCTTTTTGATAAGAAGCTCGGTGCCTTTTTAGTATCGTCGGATCTCTCTTAACGCAGTAGCTATATAAATCAGTAATTGTACTTAAGAATCAATTTATTAATTGATTGAACTTACTTCCTGGCTTGTAGCGACGGCGCTTTCGTTGGCTTAGACCTCCTTTTTTCGCAACAACTGCAGACTTCTTAAGATACTTGCCTTTTTTGGATTTTTGACGAGAAGAAGTTTTAGCTGCCGAAGGTGATTTGCCAGCTGATGGAACGGAGCGAGCAGCTCTAGCCGTCGAGAGTGATTTTTTAGCTCTTTTGTATTGAGAAAGAGGAATATCATTTTCACTTGAGTTTTCCTCATCATCGCCTTGCTCTTCTTCATCTGTATCACTATAAGGCATCGTCCTCGTCGCGGTTTTTGTAGCTATAATTGGGCCCGGGACAGTGAGAGACCCTTTAAGAGCTTTTTGCGCGAAAGCTTTTTTAGTGCGATTGCTAGTAGAAGCAGAAGAAAGTTCAGCAGCTGCAGAAGAATTGTTTCTAGCACTTAGGTCGTAAAACGGATCCTCGTTTTAAAGCTGAGCTAATGCACTCGCTTGGCTCGTCGATTGTTGTGTTGCTTTTAAAGCAGTTCTAAAACAATTAGCGAACGAAAGAAAAAGGTTTAAAAAGATTAAACTTACTGAAAGCTGTTAGTACTCATGCTAGTATTGTCAGGAACGATGCCTTTGTTCATTTCGGATTGAATAGCCGGAGTATATCTGACTGCGTTTGCTAAAGAAAAATTTAATTAGTAAATATTTACTAATCATAAGTCAAAAACATTACCGGATCGAGGTCTAAGAGATGATAAGTGCTGGTCTGTATTTGCGCGAGAGTTTATTGGTGTTTGAAGAGCGTCACCTAAAATAATAGAAATTAGCAATTATTAATTAATAAAGTAATTAATACTTACTAGCTTGACCTTGAGAAATTCGGCGAGAAAGGGACGAGGATAAATCGGTTCTTTATTATGGACTTGCAATACCGCGCGGGGTTTCAAGAATTTCTGTAAATGCTTGTCAGCCATTTGCAATTGATTTATTAATCAATTTACTAATCAAATACTAACCGGATGGCTGTCGAGTTATAGTAGCGCGGCGCTCAGCAAAAGTAGGGTCAAGAATTTCTGTAAATGCTTGTCAGCTATTTGCAATTGATTTACTAATCAATTTACTAATCAAATACTAACCGGATAGCTGTCGAGTTGTAGTAGCGCGGCGCTCAGCAAAAGTAAGGTCTGGCGCATCCGTAGCCAATTGAGCTTTGCTAGACTAAAGATAAGGATTTGCGCTAAGCAAAGTAACTGAAAAAGTATTAGTAGTACTCCGATTAATTAAATATAAACTTACTTTGTTCACCTTGCAAATTTAAGTTTTCTTCTTCTACGCTTTCGCCGCGTATTGTATCTGCTTCACCTTCTTGTGCTTCGTCCTCATCTGCTTGACCCTCAGCCGCTTGACCTTCAGCCGCCTGACCCTTAGCCGCCTGACCTTCAGCCGCTTGACCCTCAATCGCTTGATTCTCAATTGCTTTATCAATTAACTTATCTTGGCTTGCGTCATCTCCTTTAGCCGTAGTGCTTGGTATATCGGTAGAAGGAGGTCGGTCCGAAAGCAAAGGTTCGTTTAGTAGAGAGGCCATTTGAAAGTATTAGTAAAGGGACCTAATCGCGATAATCTAGTTTACGATCAATAAGTTGATAATTTTAAACAAGAAAAGGACGACCTTACAAAGCAATGAATAGCGTTGTATTCAAAGGCGTAGCAAATAAGAAAGCGATAGTTGTAATTGATTACTAGGTAATAGTAGAAAGGAATCAGACTTTACTTTATAAAGTAAAAATTGCGCGGGGCGGCCGCCTTATCTTAGCTGCGGCTGCCTTATCACCTCGTGAATTCACTAGCGGCCGCGCTGGGATGTTTTAAAAATAGAATGTACGAGTTCACTTTTAATCCTAACACCTTTATTCTACTACCTTTGATTTTACCTCAAACAATTACTTTCAACGTTTGGCTTCCTTATAATACTATTCAATATGGCCGCCTATCAGCTTGATTCGATAGAAAGTATCATTGCAAATACAGATCAGCCTGATTTGATGGAAGAGATTGAAAAATCTGTAGTAAAAATCATTTTCTTATTTACTAATCTATTTACTAATCAAAAACGTCTTTCTTAGAATGCGGCCGATACGACGGCAATCGTGGCGGCAAGCAATCCGGTGCTAGGAAACCTTGGCAAGCGCAAAGTAAGTATCTTTTTTACGTAGTATTCTAACCTTTATTAATTTATTAATTTTTCTTAAAGAGGAAGGCCAAAGAGAGGCCAATTATCAACCAATCCTTATACGATAAGAGCCAATGCTCGTACAGCAAAGCTGAAACAAGATCCTTAAGCAGATAAGCTTCGAAAAGCTAAAGGACGAGATCAAGCGGCCGCTAATCAGCTTTCTGCAATTTAAAAACAAACCCCAGAATATTCTTAAGCATCAAAAGCTGAAAGGAAAACTCGATGGGCCGAAATGCGAAAGAATCTTATAGATGAACGGTACTTTTTCTTTTCTTTGATTTACTAAGCAATTTACTAATCGATTTTAAAAAGAATCGAAGCATCTACGCGGATAATCTTGCTATGCAAGCCGCTTCTTTTACAACTAGATTCAATGATAGAAAATACTTGAATAGCGATTGGGTTAATAAAGTATTCAATTCAGACGAAGAGGTTTATAAGGAATTTAATTTGCGAAAAGACGAAGAAGAAAATAGTAATATACCTCGCGATAGATACGTCTCGATTACCGATGAAGAGATAGAGAAGGTCACTCGGCAATTAGCACGTCAGCACGCATAGGTAAGCATTTATTTCATTTAAATATTTATATTTTGCTAATAATATAAAGTCACGCTATATGATGACCGTTTGGCAATTTCGTCGCTACTAGCAAAGTGTAGCGCGGTCTTTGACAAAGAAGTGCCGAGCTGCTAATTTAAAGAGTAAGAAAGCTTTCCTTGAATTGATGGCTTAAGACTTAGCAAGCACGGTTTCAAAACGAACTAAGTAAGAATTCATTTTATTATGCTTTTAATCAACTGAACTAATATTATAACTTTTAGTCTTCATCCAATCAAGCCTCCTTACGTCTACTTTTCCCTTGATAAAAAGAAGTATTGGCGAGCTAAAATTAAAGCAAATACCGATGAGATTGAATACGAATTGCCGGGTCCAGCCGCTTAGTAGAATATAAAAGGATTCGAAAAGAATGCTGAATTTGAAGAAGCTGATTGCGATCCTATTTTATTTCAACGCGTTATGCAATTGATTTAAAAAAAGGACGAGCCAGCTCCGGAGTTGTTTTACGGCGTTAAGGATAG